GTGATGGAGGTGGTGGTGATGGAGGTGGTGGTGGAGGTGGTGGTGATGGAGGTGGTGGTGATGGAGGTGGAGGAGATGGAGGTGAAGGTGGTGGTGGACATGGGGATGGTGCCCTCACACTTGCGTGGCTGTGGCCTGGATGCCCCCGTGGGTGACCAGGGTCCAGTAGCCTCCAGTGCTGGCGTAGAAGGTGCACTTCTTTGTCTCCCGGTCAGTTTGCATCAGGAAGGTCTCATGGTCCAGCTCTTCATCTTGGTTGGCTGAGACATTGACCCCTGGAGGGAGGAGATGGGAAGCCCCTCACGCCTCTCCCTGGGCGGGTGGGGAGCAGACGTGGGGAAGCATGCTCCTGGGGCAACCCCGAAGCCAGAGCAGCTCATCGAGAACCCGAGAGGGTTTAGAAGGCACCTCTCCAGGGTCTGGGAGCTCTGCCCCAGGGCCACATGGGAAGTGGAGCCCACACACCTCCGACCACAGCCCAGGAGCCAGGCCCTTCCACCGGCAAATCCCGGGCCTGGCTAATCAGCAGGTAACCTGCGTCCCCCTCGGCCTCTATCTACATCTCGGCCCTAAGCTGCTAGGTGGGCCCGTGAGGTCCCTGCCCTTCCCAGTGCCACAGCCAAGGCCTGGGGTTCCCTGGGCAGGGGCTGAACCTGTGTCTCTTCCCCAGCCTCCCTCTCACATGTGGGGTCTCCCAGGAGTCCCAGGGGAGGGCAAGGCTACCCACAGCACTGCCTGGGGTTCAGATCAAGGGTGGCCAGTGAATGAAAAATGGCCACCACCACCATCACTACCAACCCCCCCACCACCACCACCATCACTACCACCATCAACGCCATCATCACTATTAACATCACCACCATCACCATCACCATCATCACCACCATCACTACCAACCCCACCACCATCAAGGCCATCATCACTATTAACATCACCACCACCAGAATTGCTGGTGGGACCCCCAGCACCATCTCTGTCACTTCGGCCCCCTCACCACCAGCACAGCCACCTCGTCCCCCACGCCCCACGAGGCTGCTCACAGCTGGACACGCACAGGTGCTGTGCCCACCGTCTCCTTTGACCCAGAAGCAGCTTTTTCGCACTCTAACCTGCATTTCGCTGACAAACCAAGCACCTGGGCCTGGCGCGGGCCGGATGCCGGGGTAGCTGGACCACAGGCCTGTGGTGGGCGGGACAGGCCTGTGCACCCTCCGCTGGAGCCAGGGCCAGTGCTCCGGCGTTTGTGGGATCCCCCCCACTGGATGGGCTGAGGGCAGGGCCCCTATAGCCAGAGTGGGCACCCTCCCCGGCGCTCATGCTGGGCCTCTGCCCTCGGACGGGGTGGCATTGTGCCAGGTCAGGGTGTATCGGCCACTCCTGGGTGCACAGAGCCAGGAGCCCAACCCAGGGGGGCAGCTGAGACCGCTGACCCGGGGCCCGGCCGCACCGACCAGGCAGACAGTGCCTTCCCCTGACGAGCACAGGCCGGGAGGGGCCATCTGCTCCCTGGTCCCCCAGACGGGAAGGACCCCAGCTGCCTCCCCTCCCCACTCCTGGGGCTGGACAAGGACCCCGAGTCAGCCACACGGGAGCACGGGAACCGCTGCTCTGCCTCACTCAGGCCCTGCTGGCTCCCTGCCCTGGCCGCGGCCCCTTCCCAGCCTCCTTGAAAGTTCAGCAAGTGGGGTGGTGAGTGGGCAGGGGGCCTTGCCCACACCCCGCTGGGCACTGCCCATGTGGCTCTCAGCGCCGCCCAGCTGTCTTGAGACAGAGCCCCTTGCTTGTTTTTTAAATATATATTTTCTATATTTTTATTGATTCAGAGAGGAAGGGAGAGGGAGGGAGAGAAACACCCATGATGAGAGCAAATCATGGACAGGCTGCCCCCTGCACGCCCCCCACTGGGGATGGAGCCCACAACCCAGGCCTGTGTCCTGACCAGGAATTGAACCCTGACCTCCTGGCTCATAGGTGGACGCTCAGCCCCTGAGCCACGCTGGCCCGGCCAGAGCCCCTTCCTTCTGCCCCCAAAGCCGGCAGCCCTCCACGGGGATCCCACACGTGGTCCACAGCCCGTGCACCACCACACACGGTTCACCACCAGACACGAGCCTCCCCCCCACCCCCTCCCCGTGTGACCCTCACCTTGCCGCACGGACA